TTTCAGATTTGTCTTCGCATTAAAATGATTAGTCAATAAAAAAATTACATTAAAAGTAACCAAATTTACTAATATAATAAATTTACTCTCAATTTACTTTTTTTAGCTATTGTCTCATCGTATTTTTCACCTCCAGGTAAATAATCCGCATCCATTATAAAATCATCATCATCATCAACGCTGCTTTCAGAATCATCCTCTTTTGATTTTTCAGAATTAGAATGTCTGTATTTATTAACAATATCTTCAATGTCTTCTTCCCATTCCGGTTTATCAACATCTGCCTTAAAAATAGTACGAGGCGTTAAAGTTTTGTGAGAGTAAATATGAACATATATATATATATATATCTGTATATAAAATACCTCTTGAGTATAGTAATTACTATCAAAGATATTTTGCATTTTTTTATCATATTTTTCAGGATCAAAATCTTCTTCTAAATCAACCTCGTCAAATCCAACAGCTAAAAAAATAAAGCAGTTGATCATGATCATAATTCTAATTTTAATACTGAGATAATAAAAAAAGAATATAAGTACTTTCATTTCCCGTTATTTCTTTTATTTTCTGCAATTTATCAAAAATTTCTTTCTTTTTGAGATTTTTAAGCCTTTTAAGTTCCTCCATTTTGCGTTTCTTTTCTTCATTCTTACGCTCAGAGCGTACTTGACGCTGAATTTTACGTTTATTGTCTGACCTATGTACGGAATTGAAATAGTTAATTATAATAATAATAATCATAATAACCATAAACTTAAAGGATTAGTATTGACGCATTATACCTTCGTACAGAATCAATTACATTCCGGGAATATGTGGCAACCTTTGTTCCACCTCTAAAGTTAAGAAATTGGGTTACTTAAATTTGAACAAGACTAATTAAGAAACATAAAATTATCAATGATTAATAATGACTTACTCTTCCTCAAATCGAAAATTATATTTGCTTTCGAAATTATCGACAGCTTCTTCAAATTCATCATTTTCTTCGTCATGATGTTCCAAAATTAGATCTTCATATGTTGGAATCCGATTGGCATTTTTATCGATCCAACCGCGGTTAAGTATGTAACTGAAAGATAAATCATGAATATTTATTTTAAAGAGAAGATTTTAAAT